GTAGCAGTAGTAGTAGTAGTAGTAGCAGTAGCAGTAGCAGTAGTAGCAGTAGTAGTAGTAGTAGTAGCAGTAGCAGTAGCAGTAGTAGTAGTAGTACTATCATTATTACTATTCTTCTTATTATTATTGTTATTGTTGTTGTTGTTGTTGTTGTTGTTGTTATTATTATTATTATTATTATTATTATTATTATTATTATTATTATTGTTAAAACCACAGACACCTTCTTTAAGTGCTACAGCCAGCCCGGCTTAAACTGCAGGATGTTTAAAGTTATTAGATCATATGGGGTCAGTTGTACGATCTATCTTTGTGCGAGTCTTCATACAGTTGGGAGAATTTGACGATGCGCTAACGCCAAGGAGTTAGACAGTCTCGTCATTGGTCTCGTTAAGTCTTTCAGAGTACTGTTTACTTTTATTTGCATCTATTTATTTCACCGCACAAAGCATGAAAAAATTGACAGAAGAAATTAACAGTACAGTAGGGCCCATGTAAGTCAGTTTACCTAGTGTTGCATGGCTTATACAGGAATGCACTCACCCCTTTGGTTTAGTGTTGACAAGTGCCTCGGCTATTGGCAAATTGTGAATTATCGTAGCCGCTGACAAGAAAGTTTTGACTCGGCTGCTCACTTCCTCAAAATCTATGGAAAACAAAATATTGAGAGGTGTTCAGACGCTACCTGTACTTTCAGACCTGCTCAACTTTTTTTGACATAACTTGACAACTGAATGATAAACTAGTGCCTTGGTCTGTTCCCGGAGGACAGGCCTCCCATATAAAAAGGACCCCCCGGGGTTCTCGTCTGGTCTTAACGATCAGCTTCTACAGCATAAGGAAATGAGTTCAGTTCCCACCGAGATCTCAGGGCAAGACTGTTTCTTTTAAATGAAATGTACAGTACAGAATCACTGGTCACATGTTAAACATTCACTTTGATCACAGCAGACTGTTAATCTTGTTCTTTGACTGATAGAGAAGCCAAAGCTACATACCGACGGCAGTGTCGGAGTGTTCAAACGCTTCTTTCCAAACGTTGTCCATAAAGAGCGAGTTGTATCTTGGGTCTAAGGCTGCAATGTATTTGGCTAAGGGTTGGACATCTTGAAACAAAAAAAATAAGACAATTTACAGACAGGATTGAAGAACATGCCACCTTGTGAACCTGTTCAATACGAACGGCTTATCATCAACATCATCATTATTACTGTTTAAACTCTCAGTTGATAAAACTAAACACAAAGATCAGCACATAGGGACTGAATGCAAAATTGCCCAGTCACTGCGTTAACAAATAATCTGTTTGTTAAGGATTTTTCGCTATGTCGTTACATAAAAGTGAAAAATCTTCTCTTGTTTGGAAGAGAATTGTGCGTTACTGACTGTCTTACGAGTGACGCGATATGCCACTGAATATAGATAGTCTTAACTTACCAAGAGGTATGAGGAGAAAGCGAAGAAATGTCTGCCAGTCTGATGGCTTGGAAGAGAACTGTTCCACGTATGGTTGAAGAACAGCACTGATATATGACTCTGTGCCAGCAATTGCCACAGCAAGCTGAGGAGGTGAAGCTGAGTGCGTATTACAACTATGGGAAAGGAAACAGAGAAACCAAGTGATACATTAAACCACACTTTGATTAGGATTTAAGACATTTAACAGTGTATGGCCCTCAGCCTGCGGCCGCGAACCGTACTCAAGACTTCGGGCACAGCATTTCCCAGTACCAGAGTGTTCCAATACGGACCTCCCGGCCGGCAAATAACATTTATTTACTGAAGACTGAAATATTGAACTTGTTAAATTGATAAGTGAATATAAAAGTTACGCTCTTCGCTCACCCTATAATCTACGAACAATATACAAAAACGAGAGAACGGTTACCACTTAGGAGTTCTTAATGAATACTTACAATTTCTGGTATTTATTTACAATGGCCAGAAAAACAGCATGCACATCTGAGCTGGATCTTGTACAAATCATCTTCACAGCTTTGTCACAAAGCTTCAGTGCTAAAAGCTACGGAAAAGAGAAACGCATGTAAACTTTTCAACACAGTAAGATACAATAATACACAACTTTTATTCACTTCACGGTTCAGCTGCATCTTTATGCGAACGTGTAAAGTGCCGCCTCAGAAGTGGAGTCTCACGCTTACGTCGACTCCATAGGTTTGCGTCGACTCATAGGTTTTAAGACAAAAATTAAACTACGCTTTTGGGATGATGCAGGTGCGGGAAGGGGAGAAGAAACAAGCTCTAATTAAAATCACGAATCAAATGGTGGTATTCATGTAGGAGTGTATCATTAACTTAGTTTTAGATGATACCTTACCTGGCCTTGCCACTCAGAAGTATTGATCAACAAGATACTCTCAGGAATTTCACTATCTCCTGTCAACACATTGCTAAGTTGTTCGTTTAAGGTAACGTTTGGCAGCTGAAACCAATTAAATCAAAATATTTTCACTTGCTAACAGACGAAAGACAACTAAATATTCAGATATAAGCACAACAGATGGGATTAAAACGCCTCAACAGAGCGGCCATTCTTATTGCGTGAAGGCAAAAAATTATATCAAGCTTCGCCGTTTGGTTTCTCTGCTCTGACGATAATTTCTGCCATTAAGACTAAAATTACCAGCTAAAAAGGCCAGGAATGCACAATTAAATAAGCTTGCTTGTGGAAACAGACTACTTTGGGGAATTGACGAGAAACTGTAATACATTTTCTTATGAAAAATCTGAACGTTTTACGGTCCATTATGAGGTCTGTACCTAAAACGTAACCTCAAACCTCACACCTCTCCTTTACGATTCAAGTCAAGACTTTCCCTAAAATAGAACGCGATTTACGTGTAGTCTCTCATTCTGAAATCTGAGCTACCAATACTACAATAAACAAAGGTATAGCATTGTTTTAACCTACCTGAAGGTCTATATCACTGTTTCTCCTTTTTGTTACAGTTTCCGACTCCGCCGCTTTTCTTCTTTCCTTAAATGACACACTGCGCCGCACAGAAGGCACTTCATCTAACCCTCCCCCTGACAAGGCGTCAGAAGTGTTTGTAGAGTCTGACAGGTTTTCTCCGTCAGAAGGTGGACTCAGAGCATCCTGGAAACCAAAAAAACCCCGGCGTTTAACAATCAATTCTTAACATCCTTTTAGAGACTATGGTCGTCATTACATATGTGCTCACCATGTCGTGATCTGGTTGCATGTCTTCCTGTTCCACTTGAACAGATACTTGCGGGCTTCGAATGTCCTCCTCGTCAATCTATGAATTGTTTGAATATGAAAGCTTCAATTGAGATCTGTCAATAGGTGCCAGCTCAATGGAGAGAGAGGCTCATTGACTCGCTCAAATTCCTCTTTAAGGAGTGACGTAAAGATTTAGTTTAATTCTTTGAGAAATTCTGGAAGACCAGCCACGGCTCCAAATTTCTTTTTCAAGCACCCCCTCCCCACCTCCCCCCAAATTAACCGTTAGGTTTCAGACAGACTATTATTTTTCATATTCTTGATATTGGACTGAAACTAGCTTGCAACTGAGGCTATTGCTGGAAGTCTGGTGTTCTAACTTGAACAAAAACTTAACTCTTGCATTGCCTCTCTTCGCCTAGGAGTAAAATCAATTCTGGTGAATCGTTGCAAAACACACTTAACTCTTTTTAATGATATCCCCCCTCCCCTCGCTGCAAGGGCCGCCATTACAAGCTAGTTTCAGTCCATTGCCAAGAATAGGAATATGGCCTATTCTTCAGGATGATGTGGGTAAAAAATTAAAAGGCATATTTAATTGAAACAACAACTACAACACAAAAATAATTTACCATGGGCTATAAGAAATATATCTGGTTATGAAGATGTCAATGTCTGAATTGCATGCTGAGATTTCATTAGATTTGGCTGATATACAAACATAATACAGATTCGTCAACAAGATTTTAAAAAACTGGATTATTTGATAATGTAATTCAATCATGGTATAAGGACAATAGACCTTGTTAGCTTAGGCGGTTTGTTTTCCCATTTCAGACCAAGTGATATTCTCTAGAGAACGTTTCTTTTATACATTTAAAAGTTATTCATTCATATACACATGACTATTTGAAAATTTGAAAGCAAAAACTCCCAAGAGTATCATCACATGGTCTGAAATTGGGTAACAAACTGTCCAAGCTAAAGAGGTCCATTATACCATGCCCTAAAAGCATGATAAGCATATACATAATTTTGAGGGGCATTTTTATTTTAATTAGTTTTCTATGTTTTGAGGGTATTTTTAATGAAACAATTATTCTCCTTGTTGGATTTGAGATAGTTATTGTCAACTTGGCACTGTGCACTGTGTTGGCTTTCTATAAACTCATATCCAATGTGTGCTAGTGGAATAATTGTTGAATATTACTGAAATCTTTGGGCAGTCATTGTTTCACTCACCACAGTGTGACTTGGCACATTTTCAGTTGAGCTTCTGGGATCAAAGAAAGGTCTGAAAATAGATTACATTGATTAATGCAAATCAGATTTGCTTGTAAGTCATATTTGTTTGTCTATGAACAAGGCAACATGTTGACCAAGCCAAAACACTCAGCTGCAGTTAAGGTTAAGTCTGTATCAGGTTAAGTGGGCCATATCACTAGAGCTTATCCTGGATTTCAGCTTCACAACACAACAGACAGAAAACAATAATGAACTATTAAGTTTATTGTGCATATTTTGGCCAAGCACCAGAGTACAGCAAATAAGTAATCCAATACATCTTCTAAATTCCTCCAATAATCACCACCATAGTGTAATAAAGCTACATAAATAACGAGAGCTGGGCAACCACTAACAAGGCATTGTGGTTAGAACTGGGGCCAGAAAAAACCTACTGAAAAAAACCCATAGGGAAAAAATACAACAGGAAATCTGGGTCCAAGCTCCTACAGCCCATCCTACAAGGCCAAATACATTCAGAAAGAAACAAATTACAAATTGTAGTGAGTGGTGTCAGCCTACAGCCTACTGTAGAATGATTGCCCATGTGCAATCCCAAGCTTAAATACTCACACACCATTACCAATGATGCAACAACACTAAGGGAATCAGGCCCACAACCTTTTGCTCCCATGCAACAGAACTATTTAACTTCTGGCTATTTTGCAGCCACTCAATTGCCAGAAATTCCATTTTCTGCAGCATCAAACAACTAGGTGTGTTTCTACTCCACACCCAGTGGGATGCTAAAACATTGCAGGGTTCCCCTTTAAGCACTACATTTGACGTTACCTATTATACACATGGGTGGAGAGAGGCAAGTTGTGAGGGTAGTGTCTTATCCCAAAACACAACACAATGTCCTCATTCAGCCAGGGCTCAAACCCAGGCCGCCTGATTCGGAGTTCAGTGCTCTAATCATTAGGTCACTGAGACTCTCACTTCATCAGCAGTACATTGCAGAATATCACTTGCTATAAAATGAGTGCAGTCACCTGAGAGAAGGTTTGGGTGTGGACACAATGCTGATGGTATCTTCAAGGAAGTCATTTTCAGCATCACTATCCAAGTCGTCCAGGTCATCAGGGAAAAGGAAATCATCTGCTGCTTCATTCTCTGGAGGACTGATATCAATATCTCGATATGTTCCCATTTCATTTTCTAACTCCTGAGGAAAAAAATCACATCATTCATAGATCATCTGATTTCTTTGTAAGTCAAACAACAAGCTCAGCTATTACTGCTCTTACAACTTACGGGGCTCTCATTGGTGCAGGCTCTAGAGATACATGTAGATTCTAAAGAGGATGGGGGGATATTACGAACTCACAAAGTGACCAGCTCCCAGTTGGCTTGATAGCTCAGTTGGTAGAGCACTGCACTGGTATCGCAGAGGGTCATGGGTTCAAACCCTGTTCAGGCCTGGATTTTTTTAGGGCTTAAATTTCACAACTGCAATGATCAATCATGTCTTCATATTTGTATTTTGTTAATATTATGTCAGTCAATTTTTGCTACTAGCATCACAGACAAATTCTAGAAAAGAACCCCCTGAGAAAAATGAGTACGAAAGAGCTAGGACACATCAGAGGAAAAGCTTGGATAGGAAAACCTGGTACAGAAAAATATGAAAAGAATTTATTTGCAAGGACTCAACAGGTGACCAAGAGTTTATAAGTGAATCAATTAATATTCAACGAAGTTTTTGCTGTCCGTTAAATTTACTTATGAAGTTTTTGTTGAGTTTATATTTACTTATGAATGTCTATGTTTATACTCACCTCTTCTGGTACTTTGAACTTCTTTAGGAGTGCTATAAACTTTTGTTTAAAATTCTTTTGGTGCTAAATGAGAAAAAGAATAAACATCTCCACAAAATATTCACTAAAATCTAATGTTAAAAGATATAGTGTCAAGACCAACATTGTTTAACACTAGACATTAACAATAACATGACTTGTTTACAAGTAGAAACCTTTGCAGGAATTGTTATTTTTCCATGTCTTATTTTCCCCCCTTGTCTCTGTTCTACATCAAGAATATCCTACAAAAGATACAGAAGAAACGAATGTTAACATTCCAGTAGTTTTTGCCACAGTACTGTGCAAGAACTGGCCTGTAGTATTAAAATGCGTCTGTCTTGATGCACACCAGGAGATCCCAAAGAGATGCATAGCACCACTAACCAGGAGGTCCAGACCCTGAGCAGCAGCATGTAATGAAATGCAATTTAATCACCATTTGCAGTCGCTGACTTCCAAAGTGCAATGTCTTATAACTGTGTGGTAAATATTACTATTTAATGTTAGAAGATTTCTGCAATTATTGAACTAAATGGTACTTACTGCATCTCCACCACTATCACTTCCTTCCTGGTCAGACAGAGAAAAGTCATCATCATCATCACTGGAATTGTCATCACCATCGCCTGACGAAAAAGAGAGCAGTTATTAACTATTTGAAACTCAGAAATAAGATCAAGAGGAGGAAGGGTGNAGGGGGGGTGAGAGGAGCAAGACAAACTGGTACCAACTTCATTTTCATCTAAAGTTATTGGCTGATCAATGGTTTATACTCTGGTTTATCATCTTCAAAAAATACAAAATATGCTGTGACAACCCATCACGCTGTGACAATCACCCAAGACAACTTTGAAAATTGGACCATCTATCCAGAAATCAAACTGCTGCACATGGGTGGAAGTATGCAACTGAGTCCCTTTAAGGAAAAACATTTCAACATAATTTTACAGCCCGGTATTGTGTGTACTGTGCCTAAAGTACAACAATAAACACTTTCTATACCAGAGATACCCTAGAGAACTCTAATTTTAAGGGATATGCTCAGGTAAGATCACTCAAAATACCCCTAGCTGATGATCCAGTAAGCCTGTCTCCATCTGTTTCAACTGGCTGGCTATAAACAAAAGAATGTGCAAGAGTCAAAATATCAAATCTGTCACTAACATAATTTGTTTGGAATACTTTTAACACTCAAAAGGGGCAATTATTTGATGGGAAGAACAAAGTGAATAAAAAGAAAAATTATGAAATTGAAGAAGTACAATATTGTTGTTCATAGATTCAGGGCAAAAAGCTTTAAATTTTTCATTTCACTCTTTCATCGGATGGGGAATTTCCAGCTTTGGGTCGTCATTGTTCACATGTTTGCCTGAAAGTGTTTCTTCCAAAAACTTTTGTTTTCTCTGCAACCAAAAACTATCATGAACTGACTTATGAATTTTCTTAAATAAATATTGAAGTCTTATGTAAATATTCAGGCTACATGTAAGTCACTGGGACATGACAGGCACTGTATTTCTGTTATTATAACTGATAACACACTTAAAGCAAAAGAAAATGTTGCATAGTAGTTTACTGAACCTGGTAAGGGAGTTAACAGTAACTTGGGCAACTGGAACAGGACTTCCCTTCATGTACAATTTAAGCTGGTTGTCTATGGAGTGCTGAAGAACCTGGGTTGAAATCATTGGAAAAATATCAATGCTGTCAAGTCATTAATAATAAAATTAATAAACAGAAGTCTTGCAAAGCCATGCATAAGCATGTGTTTAGTTAATGGAATCATGAACAAAAATTTCAACAAAAATTAAACTAAACAAAGAAAACAACTACCACAGGGTAGACAGATGCATGCACTGTATACATCTAATTACATGTACAACCAAAAAATCTTTTCTCTCTCAGTGACCAAGAGAGATTTGTAAGTGAATGCTGGAAATAACAGTCACATATCAAACATTTTCCAGCCAAATTTGTGAAATTTTGCAATCAATTTTACTTTATGATGAGACATTGTGTCCAAGCACCAAAACGACTTAACTTTCCTTAGTTTTGTTTCATTAAGATCCTGTTGTTAGACCATGTTTGCTCTGAAACATATTTAAAATCACAAATCAAACAAATCTGCAGTTTATTTTGCTCAAATGCACTTGCATAAAATGTGAAATGAATGCCTGCTTAAATATCACCTCATAATGTATTGCTAAGTATTCTTATTACTTTAAGTAGACCAATGGATTGAGTCATAAGATTTTTATGTGTTTAGCCAAACAAATTTATTGTATGTCTAACTGATGTAGAGATTTAAAGGACACATGTCCTGGTACTCAATGAAAATTATCTAGAACTAGTAAACAGTGTAGTCATAGAGAATATTCACACTGTCACTATGCACTTGACTGTCACTTTATGACAGTGATGTTTTCATCTCACCTGACCCATGTTCACAAGTCCTACTGCCAGTGTTTTAAAACCAAGAATGGTGCGATTCTTGTACTTCTTGCGCCTTTGAAGCATAATTTGAAGATTGTTTCCTGCTCTCTTCAAAAAGTGTGGGTACTGAACAAAACAAAATAATTATCACTGAAGAAACATGAAAATACATGTATACTTGTTACAACATGAAAGAAATTAAGGCAATGAAATTAATACTGCTAGTCCTGTAGAACATTATGTGGAATGTTGATGCCATGTACACTGAATATGTTTGGCAAGTTCTAAAAAACAAAATTAATATTTAATGGCTCCATAGTTAACAAGTATATCTGAGTCATCAGTAAGTTTGGAAGTCCATGGATGTTCAGATCCAAGATGAAGTAATGTGAAGTGTGGAAACCTCACCCACATAATGTAATGCAGCTGTATCCATACATGTACATGGATATTGAATTCAAAAGGTTTCATTAAATGAAGAAGCTAGTCATAAAAGGGGATAAGTGATGACTTTGGTTGCGTTTCTTTTTTTTTGCTCCAAATTAGCTGAATTTTTGCATGTGGTCTTCAATGTAATAGAAAAACGTGGTTCTGCATTTTTGTCGCTGGTTTTTGCTTTGTTTTCGAGTTAAAACGTATGCAAAAAACTTGGCTTTTCCTAGCCATGTCTTTAGCAGTTTATTTGTTGAACAGCAAACAGGCAGACTGTTTATAGTGTATGAAGTCAAAATCAAAATAGTGTATTGTAAGTAGGTTAGTTATTGTTGTGAGTAGAGTAAGGCAATGTAAGTAATTATGTGTTTAGCAATAATTAAAAAAAAAAAAAAAAAAACAAAAA